CATACTGCTCCTTCATCTCTGCCATACGCCTTTTATAAAGCTTCTCAAGAGAACCACAACCATATTTCACCATTAATTCCTTCTCAAGTCGTGCAAGTTCTTCATCTTCAAAATCTCCATCAAAACTATCTTCGAAATCATCAAATTCTTCACTTTCATGTTTTGAATCCAACAAAAACTCTTGTTCATTCAATAATTGTTCTTTGGGCGTCATTAAACCAGATTAAAATTGGCTAAAAACGGCTAGAATTAGGGTTTTTTTGGAGGATGAGCAGTAAAACCGTGATGAACAGTGAATTCACCCTAATTAGGTCCCCATTAGAGCTCCTCAAGCTCATACAAAACGTCTTTCTAACCTTAGAACTCCTTATGCTAGCAAGATTTGAACACCAAACCTCTGGTATCACCACCGACGGTTTTACTAGTTGAGCTTTACTGACAATTGCAAAATGTTGTTGTAAACTTATTTTTAGTGAGATCAGTAACTCGATAATGCTAGTGGTATTTGAACCCCAGACCTCTGGCATCATCATCCAAAGGTTTTACCAGTTGGGCTACAATGACACTTGGAAAATGTTGTGGTTTGTCTGTTTTTAATGAGATCAGCAACTCCGTAATGCAAGCACGATTTGTACCTCAAACCTCTCGTATTATAACCCAAGGATTTACCAGTTGAGCTCAACTGATACTTGCAGGGAAACCTATTTTTAATGAGATCAGCAACTCGGTATTGCTTGCGGGATGTGAACCCCAAACCTCTGGTATCTTGACCAATAGGTTTTCCTAGTTGAGCTTTATTGTCACTTGCAAAATGTTGCGGTAAGCTTGTTTTTAGTTAAATCAGTAACTCGGTAATGCTTGAGGGATTTGAAACCCATACATCTGGCATCATCACCCAAAGGTTTTACCAGTTGATCTACACTGACACCAGCAAAATGTTGTTGTAAGTCTATTTTTAATGAGATCAGTAACTCCGTAGTACTAGCAGGATTTGAACCCCAAACCTCTGGTATCACGACAGAAGGTTTTATCAGTTGATCTCAACTGACACTTGCAAAAAAATTGTGGTAACCCTGTTTTTAATGAAATCAACAACTTGGTAATGCAAGTGGAATTTGAAACCCAGACCTCTGACATCATTATCCTACACTAACACTTTTGAAATGTTGTGGTAAGCCTGTTTTTAATGAGAACAGTAACTCGGTAATGCTAGTGGGATTTGAACCCCAAACCTCTGGTAATCATCACCCAAAGAACCAGTTGAGCTTTATTGACACTTGTAAAATGTTGTGGTAAGCCTGTTTTTAATAAGATTAGTAACGCGGTAATGCAAGCGGGATTCGAACCCCCGACCTCTGGTATCATCACCCAAAGGTTTTACCAGTTGAGCTCAACTGACACTTGCAAAATGTTGTGGTAAGCCTGTTTTTGATCCCCAAACCTCTGGTAATCATCAATCAAAGATTTTACCGGTTGAGCTTTACTGACACTTGCAAAATGTTGCGGTAAGCTTGTTTTTGGTGAGATCAGTAACTCGGTAATAATAGCGGGATTTGAATCCCATACCTCTGGCATCATCACCCAAAGGTTTTACCGGTTGAGCTTTACTGCAACTTGTAAAATGTTGTGCTAAGCTTGTTTGAAATGAGATTAGTAACTCGATAATTCTTGCAAGATTCAAACCTCAGACATCTGGCATTATCATCCAAAGGTTTTACCAGTTGAGCTACACTGATATTTTGAAAATGTTATGGTAAGCCTGTTTTTTATGAGATCTGTAACTCGGTAATGCTAGCGGGTTTTGAACCCCTGACCTCGGGCATCATCATCCAAAGGTTTTACCAGTTGAACTAAACTGACACTTGCAAAATGTTGTGGTAAGCCTATTTTTAATAATATCAGTAACTCGGTAATGCTGGCGAGATTTGAACCCAAGACCTCGGGCATCATCATCCAAAGGGTTTACCAGTTGAACTCAACTGACACTTGCAAAATGTTGTGGTAAGCCTGTTTTTTATGAGATCAGTAACTCGGTAATGCTAGTGGGTTTTGAACCCCAGCCCTTGTGCATCATCATCCAAAGGTTTTACCAGTTGAGCTTTACTGACACTTGCAAAATGTTGTGGTAAGCATGTTTTTAGTGTTAGTTATCAGTAACTCTGTAATGCTAGCGGGATTTGAATCCCATACCTCTGGCATCATCACCCAAAGGCTTTACCATTTGAGCTTTACTGCAACTTGTTAAATTTTGTGGTAAGTTTGTTTTTAATGAGATAAGTAACTCGGTCATGCTTGCCGGATTTGAACCCCATATATTTGGCATCATCACCCAATGAGTTTACCAGTTGAGCTACACTGACACTTGCAAAATGTTTTGTTAAGTCTGGTTTTGATGAGATCAGTAACTCCGTAGTGCTAGTAGGATTTGAACCCCAAAATTCTGGTATCACTACCCAAGGTTTTATCAGTTCTCAACTGACACTTGCAAAAAAATTGCAGTAAGCCTGTTTTTAATAAGATCAACAACTTGGTAATGCAGGTGGGATTTCAAACCCAGACCTCTGACATCATTATCCAATGGTTTTATCAGTTGAGCTACACTGACACTTGTAAAATGTTTTGGAAAACCTGTTTTTAATGATATCAGTAACTCCCTAATGCTAGCAGGATTTGAACCCTAAACCACTGGTAATTATCATCCCAAAGTCTTACCAGTTGAGCTGTACTGACACTTGCAAAATATTGTTGTAAGCTTGTTTTTAGTGAGATCAGAAACTCGATAATGCTAGTGGTATTTGAACCCGAAACCTCTAGTAATCAACATCCAAGGGTTTTACTAGTTAAGCTACACTGGCATCATCATCCAAAGGTTTTACCTGAGCTAAACTAACACTTGCAAAATGTTGTGGTATGTCTGTTTTTAATGAGATCAGTAACTCTGTAATGCTAGCGGGATTTGTACCCCAAACCTCTGGTATCATAACCCAAGGATTTAGCAGTTGAGCTCAATTGACACTTGCAGGTAAGCCTGTTTTTAATGAGATCTGCAACTTTTTGGTTTTTTTTTTGGTTGGCAAGTTGGGTTGTTGACGGGGCACGTCCCCTATATTAAAAAATAAATAAATAAATTACAAGCTCATCACACTATCTCTCTCTTTCACTCACATACATATGTAAACACCACATAGAGAGAACCGTACTACAATAAGCTAAAGCTTAAAGCAAAAAGACCTATACAAACATAGGTACCAAACTGACTTCAAATGATCTAGATTGGTAGTTCTAGGCCTTGGCCCATTCCCACCCTAAATGGGATTCTTTTGTCTCTTTCCGGACTTGTTCTTTCATCCATAACCTGACTTTTCAAGTTCCTTACCTCTTGTCTATCCAGCTTTCATTGCTACTTCCACCTTGAACAACATTGGTTGAGCCGAAACTGTCACCTCTTGCTCGGAAAGTATGCTTCCTTTTGGGGACTTCCCAACCCTCATCCTTCTTTTCATGAAGTGACATGCCCTTGTGAGCTTCTTCCCTGTTATCTATGGCTTTTCCTTTGTTGATCTGTCCTCTATCTTCCCCCATAGCTATTTCAGTACCTTTCCCTTGGAGATCTTGCTCACTATCACTGACTTGAGCCTCAAAATTCTCATCATTTCGCTTAAAATCTTTATTGTCTTGTTTCTGAAGCCACACGGCTGCCCTTCTTTTATTGGGCTGCTCTCTTTGTTGTTCTGCACATGTTGTAGTTCTATGTCCAAACACCTTACAATAGGAACACCTGGGGGGTTTCCAATTGTACTCCACCGGTATCTTCCATGCCATCTTTTGATCTAAAACCACTGTGATTTCCTTTGGATAAGAGCATTCATAATCCACCTCCACGCACACCCGAGATCTGCAACTCGGTAATGCTAGCGGGATTTGAACCCTAAACCTCTGGTAATCATTACCCATAGGTTTTACCGGTTGAGCTTTACTGTCACTTGCAAAATGTTGTAGTAATCTTGTTCTAAGTGAAATCAATAACTCGGTAATGCTTGCGGGATTTGAACCCCAAACATTGGGCATAATCACCCAAAGGTTTTACCAGTTGAGCTACACTGAAACTTGCAAAATGTTGTGGTAAGTCTGTTTTTAATGAGATCAGTAACTCCGTAGTGCTAGAAGGATTTGAACCCCAAACCTCTGGTATCACCACCCAAGGTTTTAACAATTGAGCTCAACTGACACTTGCAAAAAAATTGTGGTAAGCCTGTTTTTAATGAAATTAGTAACGCGGTAATGTTTGCGGGATTTGAACCCCAGACCTCTGGCATTATCATCCCAAGGTTTTACCAGTTGAGCTACACTGACACTTGAAAATTTTGGGGTAAGCCAGTTTTTAATGAAATCAATAACTCAATATTGCACTATGCACAACAACATATAATATACGTATAAATACATGTGCCTGTCCGCACAACAACCATAACAATAACATAA